AAAAAATAGTATATTAGAAAATAAGTAGAAATGGATGCTCATTACATATATTAAAGATACAGTGCAACTCTAGAAAGTAGTTCACCCTTTACTGGGCTCTATAGTGTTGTTTTATATATGAGTTTAACCCATAGGTAAATTTGTTCTAATGTGAGATAAATTTTAAACATGAAATACCATAATGGCAGAGTTTGAATAAATTATTCTTACAAAGATTTTTGCTCTTTAATAGCCTGAAAGAACGTCACAAAAGATTTGTGAGAGATATTTTCTTTTCATCTTCAGCTGAAGTATGTGGGCTGGGATATATGGGGTAGTGTGTTTATGAGAATTTGAAAATTACACAGAACATAATTGACTTCTCAAGATCAACTCTTTAAAATCGCTTACATACACAGAAGCAGAGAAACACACCTTTTATTTTTATGTAAGTGAATTTAAAATAAATTATCATTTATGAAATTACATGGATTAAATGTTTGACTCACCAAAAATGTTCTTCAAAGAGAAAAGTCTACCTCAGAAAAATGCAGGTGTCAGAAAAGAAGCCTGTTTATTGACTTTAATGCGTTGTAATGATATTTTTACTTTTATTTCCAGTATATACTATTACCATAGTTAATATTAAATAATTATATTTTAATTTTAGCTCTTGCAAAATAAAAGTGGTTAAAATCTTACTTGTAAGTAGAGTATTCTACTGGCTAATATAAGTTTCCTATTTAGTGTTTTATTATAATGTATTATGTATGCATTCATATTTAATTTATTTGTTTAAGCCTATGACCAATATAGCCTAATATTCACTACTTGCCTAGAAACTGAATGTATCTTGGCGATTGCAGACAGAAGCACCCTTGTATCAGACCTTCAGCTGGCCTGATAAATGGTCCAGTGTTTTTTTTCAAATCAGCTGGGACAAGTCAGGTGACAAATGATTTCCATTAGCTTCAGCAGAATGGAAACAAAACAGATCAATACAAATGATTTGCAGCAAGTTTAGATCATAAATTTCCTTTTGCCCCTGTACATCTTTTTAATATAGAAGCTTTTTCTTTTCATAGCAGAGAAAAAAGTCATTAGAGAATTGAAAATTCTAGTTACAGCAAACTGTCTCTGATTTAAGGTGAGACCATTTTAATGCACTATTAGTTTTATCCAATGGTACATAACAATATTATTTTAAAATATGGCAAACAATAAAAATGTTAATAAGCAACATTCCAGAAAATTAATTTTACGTGTAAGCTGTGTAACAACCATAAAATGCTGAAGTCTACAAAGCGAGCTTTTTGTTTCTATTTTAAGACCCTCATTGTTTGAATATTTTTCTTTAGTTCTATTTCTTAACCATTTGTGTTATAATTAGTTTTTGATCAGCAAAGGTATCTTCACTTCCTTGCTTCATGTTCTAAAGATGTGGTACTACCTTTATGTATTATGTTTCAATGTTATCAAATTATAGAAAAAGAAGGGTGGTGAAAGAAGGAAGAAGAACAGGATAAAAATAAATCAAACCACAAACAGCAAATTAGGGTTATTTACCTTTTTCCTAAGTTATTCCAGTATATATAGATTCTTAAATAGTCATGGAATAATTTGTAAAGACCCACAGAAACACACCCAGTAATGTCCAAGGGAGTCCTGGCAGTTAATAGAATTATGTATTTATATGATTTTGTGGACCTATACAGGCTGAGCATAAAACTGTCAGTCATGCTACATGTACCAAGAGCATCCACTCTGAACAAGCTCTGCTATAGCCAAGGAAAATGTATGATGTAAGTGCCATACACTGCACCCATGGGGGTCCTCTCACTGCTGTAATAAGCAGATAGCTTTTACCTCAGTCTAGAAATGGTAGTTCAAATTCATCACCACTACCTGAGAGACAGAGAAAGGCTGGGATACACGGGGCGCTCTCCAGCTGACCGTTGTTGCTGTATGAACAAGCGCAAGGGGACAGTATCTCAGCTTCTATAGCCTTTCTAACAAGTCAGTTAACTTTTCTCAAGATTATAACTTATAATTTAAATTTATAATTTAATTTATAATTTATATCACAAGCATACAGCAAGAAAAGATGATTCAAGATGAAGATAAAAAGAGAAACAAAAAACAAACTTGCTTTTATGACCCAAATAACTTGAAGGAGTTTCAGCTTTTTTTGGCTGGTAGGGGAAGCGCACATGGGTGTGAGATTAGGACAGGGATACATTTATCCCCTCAATAGCATTTTAGAGTAAAGTTTCCAAAGTCACCCAACTTGTCTCAGTAACGTGAAATAATTTTTCTAGACTTGGAATTTCATTCACAGAGTGCTCTAGTTCTTTTATGAAAACCCGTGTTTCAAGCCTGACTCCATTCTTTATTCTCAGTAAGATCCCTAAAATTATCATTTAAATAGTTCGTCATCAGACTACTATTTGAAAATCAAGCAAAATAATATCCCCTCTGTCTAGATCCTAATGCCTATCAGCATCTGGTTTTCAAACCGCCCTAATGAGTCCAAAGTGTGTATGAGTAGAGCATAATGTTAAAGAGCGTGGAGTCTCCAGTCAGACTGCTTGGATTCAAATCCAGACTTTGCAAGATACTAGCTTTGTGAATTTTGGAAAGTTGCTTAACATCTGTGTGACTCAGTTTCCTCAACTGTGAAAGAGGGATAACAATCATTCCTACCTAATAGGACTGTGGTGAGGATTAAGGAAGTTAATATAGTAAAGTGCTCATAATAGCACCTAAATCATGTCTTCCTATCTGTTTTAGCTATTATTATTACTACCACTAATAGTATTATTGTCATTATCATTGTTATTGGTGTGTGTACAAGAATGTCAAAAACGGGGCTGAAGACTTGGAAAAAGGTAATGGAGGATTAGGAGTCTTATTTAAAAAAAAAAAAAAAAAAAAGCTTTTACCTTCCAGGCACTCACTGACTTTTGTAACATATTGGAGAACTTTAGTTTGGTTCTCCTGGGAAGCCAGCCATCATGTAAAATATCAGAATGCCAAGAGGCTGCTATGATGGAGAGGACTTGTGTAGTCTCGTTGGTCACCAGGTTAAGCTGAATTCCTTGGTGAGTCCTAGCATTAAAGGCCATGAGAATGAGCCATATTAGGTGCATATTTAACTCCAAATATCAGATGACTGTCCCAGTTGACAACTGACTACAACCACGTGAGATATTTCACGCTGCCCAGCTAAAGCTTTCTTGAATTCCAAACATGTAACATCATGAGCAAAATAAAAGGGTTCATTGTTTGGTGGTGTTACATTTTGAGGATTTTTATCATGCAGTAATAGCAACCAGAACAGCATCAGCTCTGTTCTCTGCTCCTACCTTCTTTCCATGAACCCAACTTTTTAGTCTTTTAGTTTTCCTGCTTCCTATGTACCTTTGTGACCCTCCAGCTAAGCTCTTTGCCTGGAATCATAGTCCATTACCTTGTAATGAGCATTTGCATGTTCCATGAAGAAATGTAACTAGCTATTAGTTCATCTTTCCAAGATATATGACTCTGGAATCTTGCTTTCTCATATTATTGCTGTATTACTTTTGTATTGCCTTGAAATAACTTTTCTTTTGTTCTACTTTGTTGTAAATATTATTTGGCTTTTCCACTTGTAGAAACATTGGACTACAGCAAGCTATTCTTTCTTAGTCAGAAGCAAAGTTATTATTTGCCTTAATAATGAAGATTGGATTCTAAAATCATTATGTACTCAATTCCTTAATTGTACGTAAGGAACTAGAACTTGACTCATTAAAATTCAAAAGATTTTCTATTAACCATAAATTATTCAGAAGTCTTCTACTTCTTAAACCTAGTGTACTTCAAAAACATTCCCTCAGAACAAAACCCATCTTCAAAATTTCTTACTCTAAAACTAACAACAAGCCATTCATCACCATCAAGACATCCTCTGAGTCTTCTTTTACTTGGAGTCAGCTGATGTTCTTTAGAAAGAGGACACTTACTTTCCTGTGGAGCCAGCATTCCATGAGTGACCACCCAACTGACTCCCTTGCCAGAATTCTTAATTCATCAGCTCTTTTCTGTAAATCCTCAACCTGGGTTCAGTCACATATTTCCATTTGCTCTTCCAAATGGAATTTACAGTTAATTGGAGAAATGCAACACCACGTAAATTGGTGCTAATGCAATCTTACAGTTCTAGGGGCCTATGCTGACAGAGGTGGACCTTCAGTACCCTGCCACTTTTTCAGTATTATATATTCTATATAATGCTGGAGGTTCTAGATAGTGAAGTAAGTCAGGAGAATAAATAGATATGCATATTTAAAAGGAATAAATAAAATTTCACTTTTGTAAAATAATATGATTGTACATAAAATTCAAAAGAACACTTAGGTAATTTTTAAATTTGTATAAGTTTTTATAAGGTAATGAGCAAGAGTAAACAGACATATATTGTATTAGTCTATTGCAATAATTAACAATTAACAATTACATATTAAAATGCAATTTAAATGTTATTAAAATATAAGAGATCTACAAATAAACAAACATACAACTTATTTGGACAAATTATAATATATTACTAGAAAATTTTTTAAAAATCTAAATTATTAAAGTATGTTATGATCAGGATTATAAGATTCATTTGTAACAATGATAATTTTACCCATATTGATTATAGTTTAAAATTATAACGGATTTGTAAATCCTAGTCAAGTTTATTTATTTTTGAACATTGAAAGGATAGAATTTGTCAAGGTTTCCTTGAATAACAACAATGTGGCATGACTTGTTCTACAGATACAATTTTGTAATATAAAGTTATAATATTTAGTATATATAAAATCGTTTTAGTAAATGGCAGTGAGAAAATTAGATATGCTTATTTGGAAAAAAAAGACTCAAATGTGAAGTCATGTCAGTATAGAATAAAATACAAAAAGCAAAATACTAAAGGATCCAAAAATTAATATATATAAAGATATTCATAACTTGAAGGTATATAAACAATTTCCTTTTTTTGTTTCTAAAGTACAAATTCAGTTTATTCATCTGTTTCTGACACAGTACACAGGAGGCAAAGTGTTTCACACCATAGACTTCACTTCCAATTCCCTGGAATGTTCATTTCTTTGGCTTACAGGAGAGACTAGACAGGAAAGCCAGGCTATGCTTAGGCAACTAAAATGAGGTTGGGGACAATGCTAACGTCATCCTCACAGGGACAGCCACAGGGACTGTTAGTCACGAGCTGGTTTTCTAGACCTGTTAGCTGGAAGTATGGGGAGCACCATTTCTGGAAGCTCAAGCTATGTTGGGCTTCAGTCATCTCCACCGCACAACTACAGCAGTGCTTTCTGGGTAGTCACCCTTAGTATCTTGCTGAATGTAACAGTACAGGGACTTGCCATACTTTCTCTTGAATTCAGGCCTAATTTTCAACATGTCCACTTCACTGCGGGAGACTATGATTCTGATCAGGGCCTTATCTCAAATCCCCTTGCCCTTCATGGAGTAGTACACTCGATCAGCAAAATACAGGGGCTTGTTCTGAATGCACTGGACCAGGTTCAATAAAGCATTTTCCAGGTCTCCTGTAACCTCTTTCTTGATGCTCTCTCTTGATGGGCTGTAGCTCTTGTACCTATCAAATACTTTCTGGAGGTGGGACACGGTCTGCTCGGTCATGATGCTGATCCACTTGGGAACATCAGTTCCTTTCCTCTTCACTCCAGCGTCACAGAAATCCCAGGCATCTTGGTCAATCAGTTCATAATCAATGACAGAGCCATCCCCTGCTCTTCTAACGTTTGCCAGGGCAACCATCAGCTAGAGGAAGTCACCATATGTGTCCAAAATAATGTCCTTCTCCAGATCAGTTTTGTACATTTCCTTGTAAACTCTGTTAATTTCCTGGAGCTCCTGGTTGGTTGTTGAGCAGATGATCTCAACGAGGGAGTCCTCGTCGGTTCCCAGCCCCTTCATGGAAGCTTTTAGCTCAGAAGCATCATACTGAGCAGGTGTGTTCAATAAGCCCCAAATCATGATCTCCAGGTGGCCAGATAAGGCTGACTTCAGTGCTGATGCAAGTTCCTTTTTGGTCCTTCTCTGCCAGGCAAAAGCGCTATCCTGTCTCTGAGCATTCCTCCTGTTGGTCAAGATGTTGACAATGGTGACCTCATCCACACCTTCGGTCTTGATGGTTCTTTCAATGTTCAAAGCACCCGGAGGCTTTGATTGATCCAATGCACTTGGAGGGAGTGATCACTCTCCAAGCTGAGCTTGCACAGGATTTTGTGAATAGTACACATTTTGAAGGAAGCTGGGCTGGGCACTGAGAACTGAGAGCGTCCCCAGATGTTGAGCAAAAAATTTTCAACAGAACACAAAAAGCAATGATCATTAAGTTTATTTTTATTTTTATTTTTATTTTATTATTATTATTATTATTGAGATAGACTTTCACTCTTGTTGCCCAGGCTAGAGTGGAATGGCATGATCTCAGTTCACTGCAACCTCTGCCACCTGGGTTCAAGTGATTCTCCTGCCTCAGCCTCCTGAGTAGCTGGGACTACAGACACCCACCACCATACCCGGCTATTTTTTTCTATTGCTAGTAGAGATGGAGTTTTACCATGTTGGCCAAGATGGTCTTGAACTCCTGACCTCAAATGGTCCACCCACCTCAGCCTCCCGAAGTGCTGGATTACAGGTGTGAGTCACTGTACCTGGCCTGATCATAAATTTTAAATATAAGTTTTGGTGATAAAGATTTGATCATAAAAAAGTTAAAGTCTGAAACCATATTTGAAAATTATAAATAAAAGACACATAATCAGAAAATCTAAACAATTACAAATCAATAAGAAAAATATAAACACAAAAAAGGGTAAAAAACGTGAATAAAGAGGAAATTGGCATGTACAGTAAAACGATTGAAAAAAGTTGTTCAATTTCATTAGTCATCAAGTAAAAGAATATTAAAGTTTCAATAAACTGCACCCAAAAAAAGATAAAACTAAATCCCAGGTGTTTGTTTGAATGTAGAAAAACTCATACTATTTTTTTAGGGAATATAAATTCATGCAATTGCTTTGGAAAGCAGTATGACTTTCTAGTAATTTAAAGATACGAAAATCTGAACTATTTCCTCGTAGGTATATAGACAACAGGAATGTATTTATATGTGAACTCAGAAATGTGTTAAGAATATTCACAGTATTCATCATAAAAGCCCTAAACTGGAAACTGTCCAAATGTCCATTAACAGGAAAGCGGGTGTATACATTGTGGGTATATTGATCAACTGAAATGCTTTACAACAATCACAAGAAAATGGAACTACAACTACACACACTAATTTCAATTGATCTCACAAGTATAGTATTGAGCAAGAGAATTCAGACCCACATTTATGTATAATGTATTATTCCATTTATATAATGCTCAAAAATAGACAAAACTGAATGATTCCACTAAGTTATCATTCTTTAGGTAGCAATGCTACAAAGAAAGTGAGCGGTTATTACCTTGACATTGAGGATAGTGATTGCCTTTAGAAGAAAAGGAGCAGTTTGTGATTTGAATGTGTTTACAGGGTGCTCATATTATTTCACATCTTGGCCTTGAAAGTGGTTATAGGGGTGTTAACTATATAATAAATTTTTAGCTGCACATTTATATTGTATGCAGTTTCCTCTATGTGTTTTTAATTCAGTGTAAGAAATGATTAGAAATTTGTCAACATCTCGTGTCTTTTATATTTTTCATCTTTTTCTTCATCAATCTCTGCCAATTATAATTTTATTTTAAAATATGATGAGTAAATATAATTAGAGGAGTAGGAAAAAGAATGGAAGCTACTAAAGTGATGCTGTGGAAATTCTTCATGGTAAGAACAATTTTATGACAAACACTCAGTGCTGCCTCAGTTAAGGGAGGTCATGTTTAACCAGCCTTCTGAAATTATTCGAAAATATTACACCTATAATAGATGATAGAAATTCAATGATGTAGTACTCTCATATTTTTCTTCAGGCAAAAAGCCATGTTACACATGATAAATTAATGACTAAAGTAACAAGTTATTGAGTAAGAGGTTAGAAATAGTGCTGGATAGAAAACTGATAGCAGAATTCCTTTTACTCACAGGCTAAAGCCATAAAATCCCTCCTCTAGTGTCTTTTTCTGGAATATTCTAACCACGAGATAAGCCATCCTCTAGGCACTGCTGAGACCTTAAGGACTGAAGGAGTCAAGGAAGTCAATATTCTTTTAATCCTCTACCTTCAAGGGCCACCCCATTTAAAAGTTGTGCTGACCTTCTTTCTTCTCTCTCTCCTTTCTTGCCTCTCCTCTTCTTCCTTAACTTCTCATTCGTCCCCTTTTCTTTTCCATTCATTTGTTTTTTCACCTCCCTGTAAGGGACAGGAAGTGTGGAGCTTTCCAGCCAGAGAAAAGTAAGACTTGCCAGGTGTTTAGCAGTTCTGTTCCTGTAATCTCAATATATTGCAAGTAAAGATTTTGAAAGTAGAATTATCTATCCTATTTTTGAAATTCAAAGACTCAGATATAATTTGAATATTAAGATTAAAAATTCAGTAAAATTTTATTCATTGTTATATACAATAATTGTCATTTTCTTAGGGAAAGTAAAGGAGATATGCCACTTGCTATTTAAGTACTTTGCTTTAATATACAGTAGGAAAAATCATTATATTTGGCAATCATCAAAGTAATTTGAACAAACACACTTTTAAAAGACACTATAGAAACTGTTTTTTCCTGCATTTAAGTTTGGCGAACTATAATAATCACCACAGTCAGATCATTGCCAAGTCTCCATCTTATTTTTGCTTTAGAGACTGGTTTCTATAATTTATTTGTTAGCTTACACACACACACACACACGCACACACATTTTCACACACACATGTGTAATGTGACTTTTTGCCTGAAGAAAAATACAAGAGTACTACGTCATTGAATTTCTGCTATCTATTATAGATGTAATGTTTTCAAATAATTTCAGAAACCTGGTTAAACATGACCTCCCTTAACTGAATATACTATGTTCACAAACATAACAATAGTCCCCTTTATCTGTAGATTATATGCTTCAAGATCTCCAGCGGTTGCCTGAAACTGGATAGCACTAGACTCTATTTGTGTGTTTTTTCCTATATGCATGGAACCCTGTGTATGTTTTTCACATACATAAATATCTACAATAAAAAGTTTAATTTATAAATTAGGCACAGTAAGAGGTTAACAACAATAATAAAATAATTATAGCAATATATTGTAAGCAAAAGTTATAATTAATGTGATCTCTTTCTCTCTCAAAATGTCTTATTATAGTTTACTCATCTATTTTTAGACTGTGCTTGACTGTGGGTAACTAAAACCAGAAGTGAAACCACAAATAAGGGGGAAATACTGCACTGTGAAAACTCTCTTGTGAGAAATGTCATAAATATTATACAATTTTCTCATAGTTCAGATTGATAATATGGACAATCTTTTTTAATTAATTAATTGAATTTGTAGAGATGAAGTCTCACTATGTTGCCCAGGCTGGTCTTGAACTCCTGGGCCAAAGTTATCCTCCCACCTTGGCCTCCCAAAGTGCTGGGATTACAGGTGTGAGCCAATGCACCTGGCCAGATAGTATCAACAAACTGAATCATACCAGAGCTGGCTTTCTCTGCACATTTTGAATGAAACCATCTTTGAAACATTGAAACACTTTGCTCACATACGATTTGCTTTTCTAGTGCCTTAATGCTAAATTTGACTAATTTATATTAGGAAATTAATTGGATTCATAAATAAAAATTATCTTTGCTAATAATAATTGGAAGTAAGAACTTTTACTCCAATGAACACAAATATCAAAATTTCAAAATTAATCAGAGGTTTCCTGCACATATATCATGTATGGAGAATAAGGGATGTCATTTCCAGGAATATTTCCTAATGTCCAAGACTGAATTTGTTGCCTCTGCTCTATACACCATTTGTCATACTTTATTATTAATGTCTATTTTATTTTCACTTCCCCTCCAGGTCAGCACTGTTCAATAGAATATTCTGTGAAGACAGAACTTATCTATATCTGTGCTGTCCAATAGGTTAGCTACAGACCACATGTGGTTATGACACACTTAAAATATGGCTATTCTTAATCAGAATGCACTGTAATATAAACTACACATTATATTTCAAAAACTTAGTGCAACATTAAAATATATAGCATTAATATAATTTTACATAGAATGCATGTTGAAATAATATTTTGAATATATGGGGCAACATGAAATATATTGTTATAATTAATTTCACTCATTTTTTCCTACTTTTTAAATAATGACTACTACAAAAATTTAGAATTATGCATATAGCTAGAAATTATAGAGTATGTATCTCTATGGGGAAGCATGCTTTATGTCTGCAAAAAAAAAAAAAAACCATTTTTCTACATACAGTATTTTGTAATAATATATTCTAAGTTATATTTTAACTTCTATATTCTATTAAAGAGTGGTGTGCAGGTTATAATTTACTTTGGGCCTTTTTTTCTCTTTTAGTGTTTTTATTTTTTGCTTAGTGCATCTTATAATCAATTATGAGTTAGGACCAATAAAACATGTTTTCTTTCTATGTTTGCCACATAAAAGCACAGTGCAAATCAGTTGATTCTTAATACTGTGAAAATATCACCAAATAACTAAAAACAGTGTATTTCAAAACTGCTTGAATTAGTGTGCTTGCCAAAAGGATTATTACCCAGAAGAAAGTGTTAGCAAATACTTAAATAAAATGCAACTCTCTAGAGAAATAATTGAGGCAGATCAGTTTCTCCTTCTCTTTGAATATTATTATAATCACTTCAAATAAGTCTACAGTATTGACTTTAGTTAGCATAAAAGAGAATTTGAATGATGCCTTGAAGTTCGTTGACAATATTTCTGACCAATAATCATACAACAGATTTGCACTGCATATTCACATTGGTTGGACGGAAGGCTTGGGAAATTTTGAGAAAAGAAAATTTAAGAAAAGTAAAATTATGTAAATACACTTCGATGTTAATTTTTTTTTTTTGCTTTTTAATTTTAGAAATAATATCTGAAACAAAATAATACAAACAGATGGTATCTAATCAAATATCATGGTCCATGTTAAGCCACCTCCAATTTCACTCCTAGTAGCAACTCATTCCATTTCTGTCACTTTAATATTTCTGGTGATTTCCATATAATTCTTCATCATGTGTTAACATCTTTACTTCTGAATTTATCTAATTTAGAAAAACATATATTAA